AACTACTAAAACTTGTGAATCAATGTAGAAAATGTACATATGCAATTAACATTCATGTGAAGTCTAACTAACTAAATAACATTGTCGTTATGCGGTTCGAAGTTATTCGAAGTTATTTACATTCTCAGAAGTAGCCCAGATCAAAAGATGTGAAGTACGCTGTCGTAAAAGTGAAAAAAAATACTACATAGAGAGCTGCAATAATCCAAACAGTGGTCTGGAAAATTCCCTAGAAACTGTGATCAGACGCACTTTTATGCATAATTCTACGCTAGATCAGAAGAATCTGACGTGATGTTTGTGCAGATTTACTCGTTTATAGAATTCACCACGACTATTGGCTGTTGGACAACTAAACGCAAATTAATACACGCTCAAGATTCCACAGCTAAGAATTATAAATCAAATGGATAGTTCCACCACGGACAAATCTAATGGCGTGTAACAAGTTCAATTTCAATCTCGTTTTCTTATAATTTTTCAGAATTTTTAGATTTTTCCTGAAAATAATTTCGATTAATGGGCGATAATTTCAAAAATGATTTTTGACAAATTGTTGAACCTTAGTACGGTCAGACATGGTAAACTTTCAAATTAAATGAATGCGAACTAGTCGAGGCATACAAAGAACAATATCGAAAAACCCCATGAAAACTTCGCAAGTAATAGTGTGCCTCTACAGAGAAATAGTAAAACATTCTATTAAAGAAGTTACTTCTGCAGACTATTTTTTCCAGTTTGTAATCCTACCGAACCTCTATTGTTAGCATTTGTTTTAAAAGAAGTGTTCGTTTTATCGTAGAGTTGAAACAGAGATTCCGATCCTTGTTGGACAAAAGGTCCATGTTTGTAATGCAGTGAGAAATACGACCTGCAATCTGAAAATAATTGAAGTTATTACAGACCCCTTTGCCCCTTAGACAATCTACAAACTGGTGTTTATGTCAGTTGGAGACTATCGCTAACGAAAAGGAGTAGAGTTTAGTTTGGGAGCATTGAAGAGCGGCTGTTAAGCATATAAAATCAAAATCTGTAATGAAGTACATTTGGTAGAAACGAAGTTGAGTAGATCCGCAGAGGTTCTCCAACGTTTACGGAAGATGACATTTTTTTAAATATATGTCGACAAATGATTCATCATTATTCACTTAAAACATGGTGACAGTATTATCAATTGTATAAAAATTGTGATTCTCGTTTCTCTTTTTTATTATTATGATTACACATACTTCAGAATTAAAAAACAATCTATCCAAATCAACAACAGTATCAAGCACCAACCATGAGATACACTAATCAACCAAAATTAATCTGGAGAGCTTTTTATGAAATTTCTTTTCGTTGCTCTTAAAATGTATTACACTTTTGTTTTCTCTCACAATGTATGTGTTATAGTAGTGATTCTTCTTAGAAACTTTTTAGTTTAGGTTATCATAAAGGTGTCTCCGGATGCCACAAGTCCTTTTGGTGCTTTTTTGTGATATCCTACCTTTGTGTAAAATAAAATTTCAATTCAATTTAATTCATTGCTGAAATATTCATCTTTTCTAAATAAGATGCGAAAAAGTCAGAATTCTGCTCGTAATTCTCGCTTTTCTCTTTCAGAACTCAGTTCATATGCAATAAAAATGTCATATTCGGAATCAGGATCAAAAACTGATGTGTATTTCTATCCTGTCTGATTACTTTAATTTTTTTCGACTTTTCACGTTGAAAAATTATGGAGACTTTCACCAAAAAATGAAAACCAACTAAAACTTTCAAAATAAACATCAGTCGACTTAGGTTTTGATCCTGGTTCCGAATATGATATTTTTATAAGAGTTGAATGCTGAAAGAGAAAAGTGAGAATTACAAGCAGAATTCTGACTTTTTCGCATCTTATTTAGAAAAGATGAATTTTTCAGCAACGAAAAAGAATTTCAGAAAAAGCTCTCCATATTAATTTCGCATGTGTAAAGATGAATTGAATGTGGTAGGAATGAAGGTTCCATCTCATGCTAGAAAAGACTAATAAGGGTTGCAAAATTTGTTGGCACTATTTGGTTCTTGGTAACATGAATTTTTAATTTAGCCATGTTAGATGTGATAAAGCTCTTAATAGCATTTCTACAGGCAGTTTTATACGCTGAACCAGGAAGAATTAATGGTGACGCTTCGAAATTAAATAGAAAAACGCTTTCAAAATTTTTCTTAGTATAATGGTTTTTGAAGTTTTAAGGCCTTCAAAGTTTTTAAATTTTTTTCACTTCAAATCTCGATTGGAAAAGGTTAAAACGCTAATTTTCTTGATCAACTAGATGAGCTGAATCGAATGATGCATAAATAAGCCATAAAATAAAGTGGTGCTCGAACGTGAAATCATCATACATGTAAAGTTTTGAGAACTGTCGATGACATGGTGATAGTAAATCGAATGTCATGGGTCGTGTTTGTACTTTTGAAAAGTAGTTCATAATCTATTCGATAGAGAATAAAAAGAGGAATCGAATGTGTATATTTCTATTGATAGGGGCATAATGCCTGTTGAAAACAAAATGACTTTCATGTTTTACCGCCTTTTCTAAGCAAATCTGGATGCAAGAATCAATAAATGTTTTTAACATATGGTGTTGAAAATGGAAACCAGAAATCCAAGGTGATAACACAGAATTTCTTTACATCACACATCATCGGAGATATCGGAGTTTCATTAAACATTTTCATTAAAAGTACTTTCATTTAAAGGAAGTTCAGAAGATCAAAAGATGAAATTTTCGTGCCATCAGAAACTCTAGGTCACAGCCATCTTGAACGAGACATTTTAATGAAACTACCGGAACTTTCATTAAAAAACATTTTTAATAAAAGTTCCGATACTTCCATTAAAGAAAAGCGGTTTAATGAAAGTTTTTTTAATGAACATTATCCAATCCACATCATCCACGAAGAACCTACAACGCAGGAATTGAACGTTTTTGTAAAGGGAACAAAAATAAAAAGTAAATCTTCGTCAACGTACCTCTTTTACACTTTGACAGACAACTCAAGTGAAACGTACACCTCGATATGATGAAGCAAAAACCCCAATGAGTGCTCTTCGATTCTTTGCTCGTTCAACAGAGGACGATTGTATTCCAACATCATCAATTTATATGAGAGTTTAATAAGAACAGCAATTCACTTCGGTTCAGCAGCCTTTTTAAATGCAAATGATCGAATATGGGAAAATCTACAAACAATTCAAAATAAATCACTTAGAATAGCCCTTAAAATTCCGAGCTATATATCAACATATTTTATACATAAAGTAGAAAATGTAGAATACCTAAAACAATATGCCAAAATATTATCAAAAAACTTCATATCACAACACATAGATGCAACACACTGTGTTGTGGTGTGTGATAATGTGTTTCAAATAGATTATCTGGCATCATAGAAGACACACAGAATAATAATGTCATAAATACATCACTATATCGTAAATATATGAAATCCACAAATAGAAAAAATACGGACAGGTTGAACATCTATAATAACTAACACATATAACAAATTCATTTCAAATATCTTAGGGCATAAGAGACTAGCCACTAATTCATAGTAACAGATGATAAATGGTAACAAATATTTTAGTCCATGGTAACACTAACAAAACACCTATCAAATTTTAGTCCATAATCATATACTTTCTTTTATTGAAAAAGTTAAAAATATCAACAGAATAATAGAAAAGTCTTTTCTTCTAAATCATATACGACTTTAGGTTCAATATTGCTTGCACTTAACTGCCGTACACTCTTGTATTGTACTTTAGTGTATATTGTTAGGAAGTATAAACCAAATCTCATATCAGTAGTTATCATCTTTCAAATATACATGTACTCTTCACTCGATGGTTATTTTCTCTTTTTATTCTTCAGTATATGTATTCACTCTTCTGGTTTTCTGTGACATATGTTTCCTCTTTCTGTTCACTCTTTTCGATGGGTGTTTCTCATTCCTATTCTTCTCTCTCTCTCTCTTGTACAATATTATTTTTCTCAGTTTCCCTAAGAGATCTTTCTGTAGCTGAAATATACTATAGATAGTTGTTAATTTGCTGAAATAAAGTGTGTGTAACAGTTACATTCTTCTTTGTGCTATTAACCATTAGATACAAAACGATTCTGAAAGGAATAACCTAACACTGGTGCACTAGCCAATTGTTTGTCAATCCAACATCACAAACAAATCAAGAAACCGTCAAAGAAAACTCGAGATGGCACCAGTCGCGGATTTAGAGCCATTTACGCGATAATAATCAAGAAATGTCAGAATGGCTCATTAGATTTAATATATTATGTATAGGCATGCATTAAACCGATAGTTCGGTGACCGAACGGTTCACAAGCTAACATGTTCGGTCACCAAACCGGATTTGGTATCCAATATTTACGAGAACCACAGGATCAAAAAGTTTGATCACGCAGGCCTCTATCCACTTTTTTGTAAAAAGTCATGAATTGTTTAAGTTTTTTCTCACAAGGGTGAAAATACTTAATGTTATCAGTCTCATAATTTCTAAGAGAGAAAAGAGAACCATCTGCCGACAGTATAAAACAGAACGCTTCGCGATAACGTTATCTGTAAGTGAAACAGAACAAAGAAAATTACACATAGAAAAAGTGTTTATAGAATAAGCATTTTATATCCATACATAAATATTAGTGATACATAGTGACCGACACGTGAATCGTGAAAACAATGTTCAAGAAAAAGGGAAATACATTTAAAATAACAGAGATGGAAAAAAGTGCTTGCCAACTATAATTTTATACCCATAATTTACTATATCAATCAGTCTTTTTTTATATAACATTTAAACGTGCAACGTTGAGGCTCAATAACTGATTTTGTGACACAATCTTCTACCGGTTCGAATATGTAATGACGATCTACGATACAAACTAATAAAAGAAAAATTACTATTAATCTACATTGAAGAAACAAGATCTTTTATCGTCTTTAACTATAACTTAAAACTGTTCCGACTCTGCTGCTGAGTATAATGGTGGTGGCTGCGGTGGTGTGAATTTAGTATCGGACGAAACATCCGTTGGCAGTGATGTAAATTGTTGTTTATTATTATTCTCCATACGACGATCGGCTAAGAAAACAATTATGTTAAAAACAATATAAAGTGTCATGTAGACCAATGTTGTTATTAAAAAGAATACTCCCTATAAATAACAATAAGAAAAAATGTTGATGTTTATGAAAATCCTCGTTCGCTGTTTCTCTCATCTACTCACATTTGCTATTTGAAGTTGTGGTACAGCCGCGGAGTAACGATTATTTGCTTTACTCGCTTGATCAAGTAACACGCAAGACATTATAAATGATAAAAAATTCCAAACAAATGCTATTGTAGCTGTAACACGTGTTTTACGGCGAGCTAAAGACGAAAAAGTAGAAATGGGCAAAAATTAGTATCAACGCTAACGATGTTATATCATAACAGAGAAAATGTATATTCCAGTGTTGAATCTACCGCTGAGAACAGTTTTTTCTAAATTTAATATTTTCGAATTTGACTTTTAATTGAAAAAACTTATAACCTTACCATGAGTAGACAACGATATCCATGTACCATCAAAAAAAATCAAGCCCCATAGCCCGGTATAATAGGTAAAATATCTGCCTATGGACGCTATTTCACATGCAAGTATACTGACTGATAATATTGATTGAACAACGGCAAGAATAGTAGACGGAAAAATTGGCCAACGACTTGTCCACGACTGACTGTGCCAGAAACCCTGTTGTTGAATAAACGGTGGTGGTGGAGGTGCTACAAATTGACCTTGACCTGTTGAAATTGGTGGTGGTGGATAATAACCTAATTGTTGTTGTTGTGTATGAATGGGATATTGTTGTTGTTGAGAATGAATGGGATATTGTTGTTGTTGAGAATGAATGGGATATTGTTGTTGTTGAGAATGAATGGGATATTGTTGTTGTTGAGAAATAGTGGGATATTGCTGTTGTTGTACATAGCCGAGTGATGCTTGATTAGCATTGTATCGTATCGCTGGTTCATGTTGTCTTTGATTTGGATACATAATTTCAAGGACGTTTTAATGTGAAACAAAAGACAGTATGCAGTTTTACTATAAAGTAGAAACAAAAAATGAGAAGACAAATGATAACGTATTATCATCTCATATAGCTTAAGAAATACAGAACGATGAGTCATTTATATTTTGCTAAGAGTAAACACTTATTATCTTGTGTAAAGTCCCGCCTGTTGACATAACACTATCCTGCAACAATATAGAACATTAACGACATCAACAGACACCTTGTCACTTAGATAGCATTTTCACAATGAAGTGTGTTAATAAATTTTTATGCTGATCTTCTGTTCTGAGGGCTGTCAACTTATCATTATACAGTATAACTAAATCACATGAACCATTAACATTGGAATTACAGAACTTCAAAACTCCAGAATTTCAAAGTTATACTAATGCTCAGTGTCACAGTTACACTTAGACACAATTACAGAGTTTAAGAATTTTCGAACTTCAGAATTTCAAACTTAGAGACCATTTCAGAATTTCAAAGTTACACTTCTGCTCAGTGTCGCAGTTACACTTAGAGACAAGTTCAGAATTTTAGAATTTCAGAATTTCAAAGTTATACTTATGCCCGTGTCACAGTTAAATCAGAGATAATTTCACACTTTCAGAGTTATACTAATCCCCAGTGTCACAGTTACACTTAGAAACAATTTCAGAGTTTCAAAGTTTCACAATTTCAGAACTTCAGTTTAACCGTGACACTGGGGATTAGTATAACTTTGAAATTCTGCAATCCTGAAATTTTGAAATTTTGAAAGTGTGAAATTATCTCTCTCTCAGGGTAACTGTGACGCATAAGTATAAGTTTGAAATTCTGTAATTCTAAAATTCTGAATGTTTGAAACTCTGAAATTGTCTCTCAGTGTAACTGTGACACTTGGGATTAGTGTAACTTTGAAATTCTGAAATGTCATAAGTGTGAAATTATCTCTAAGTAATTTCTTTAATTAAAGAGTTTAAGTAAACTCTGAAATTGTCCCTAAGTGTAACTCTGGAATGTAACAGTGACTAAGTATAACAGTGACACAGAGTTTCAAAATTTCAGAGTTTCAGAACTTCAGAATTTAGAAGTTACACTAATGCCCAGTGTCACAGTTACACTTAGAGACAATTTCAGAGCCTCAAAATTTCACAATATCAGGGTTTTAAGAATTCAGTGATTCAGAGTTTCAAAATTTCAGAATTCAGTGAAAGGTCATGATCGTGTTGTGTTAACTACCGACTATCGCATAATCGTCGTTATTTTTTTGGTTTTTTTTTCTACTTTCTACGCTCTGTCGTCACTGGTTATTTTTCTACCACGAGTATTCGTTTTTGGTGCTACTGGCTGCTGGTGTTTTATTCGACGGTTCTTGTTGAGTTATTATTTCGCCGCCATGTTTTCGACACGCCACATCCACACACAGGAATACATGACAATTTAGAAATATTAGAAGAATTCAGCCACATTAATAGTGGCAATTGGTAAAAAAAAGACACGGTAAAATCATTTAATTTTTAATAATTTGGTGTTTATTTTCTCTGAGAGCTCTTTATCTTTTCTTTTTTGTAAATTGACTATTTTTAATTTAATATTGATAAAATGGATACTGAATTAGTTCAAAGTGTTTGTACTAAATGGTTACAATTAGCATCCTTAAAAATTGATAAGGATGGAATATACTCACCACAAGCTTGGGAGCGTTCGTTAGAGAATTGAATAAATAGTTTCCTGATACGTTGGAGAAATTTGGTATACATATTGGAGTGAAAATAGATATTAATAGTTTGGTTTTATTGCTAAATCAGGAGGCTACACGGAGTTCTCCTTCATGGTTAAATATAGATCAACTTGTACTGGTGATGTAGTACTTTCATCTAGCGATGCAAAATCAAACTAGACTTCCATATAATAATGAGTTAGAGAATTTTCTTCATCCAGGAGCACTCTTATTGATGAACACACCAGTATTGTCATTTTCTCCAAATATTAAGGAGTCAAGTCAAGATATTCTTGAAAGGTAAAATCAAACACTCCCACTAACACACTCTAATACAGTACAAGTAGCCTCGTCAATAGATAGTGAGAGTGAACAGATGGAGAAGGAGGACGAGATGTTGACATTGATAGCTACACAGGTGGTAAGAGCTACCAATAGTATGCTTTCGAATATGTCAGCGCCAGGTCGAATGATCAATTCGGACCCGTCTTTCAATTGCAGCGAGATTGCTATCCGGTCATCTCGTCGACCTGTTGATACTGTACTTGAAACAGTATTGAATAATAATAGTAACAGTAATCAATCGGATGGAAATGTTTTATTCCAACAATTAGAGCATGCACCTTCACATATAGGCAATATGGATCAGGCACAGACGTCAGTTACGTCTATGACGTAGTTAATGAAATGCGAAAGACTGTTCCTATACACTCGTCTATGCAGTTTGTAAATAACGCCGAGGTACAGACCGATATTAGCTTTGAGTGCTCAACTGAAAAAGTCTGAAATAGTTCATCGGACGATGTGACCGAAGGTTTTCGTCCTTTTCGTGAATGGTGGCTTATGACAGATTGTAAAGCTCAAGTACATAACATTAAATGATGTAAAGCTGAACAATGTGAAGGTCTACATAGAGCAACGACATGTTTGGCGTGTTCTGGATGAGACCGATCAATAATTACGCAGACTGAACTTAGGGCTGTCCAGTCGGAAGAGGATCTGATTAGCAAATATTGAGCAGAATAAATCGATATTACCGTTTTCGTGATCATTTGGCTTTAAGCAGCTACTATCCCCATCAGCTAGTCCCCATCAATCATTCGGCACTCAAGATGATAGAATTCGGAATAAAATGAACAAAAGGAAAGATGACGCAACATAGAAAAGAAAAAAAAGAGATGAGCAACAACGGTAGTGGAGAAAAAGTGATTACGAACAATAGCATGATCGACCGATCGAAATCAGATCATAGCAGACTCCGTTTCTAGAAGTCGACAAAAACGCTTGGTATGTCAAAATTTTTTTATCATACTAGCCATTTCGTGTGCTTACAGGTTGCATATCGCTTGCTGGTAATCTGCGTACTACAGATTCTGGACTAAATCATTTTTATCACCAAAAGATCATTTCACTTTAACACATTGCACGTATTTTCTTCTTCTTTCTGTGTGTATATTCAACACGCGCGCACAGTCGAGTGTACCAAGCAAGTAATTGTTTAGGCGTCGTTTCCTTTTCTAACGACAAATCACATACCGGAGAGTAGCGAATAAATAAAATAAATTCTGATCTTACTCTTACTCTTTATTGCACTACAAACTCAAAGTCTGTGCTTGTATTTAGACCCAAAACGAACAAGTTTCTCTTATTCTAGAATGGCGGTTCACCATTCTTCAGTGATAGTACGCTATTCCGAAATGGCATTCAGAAATTGTGTACCCATTCCGGATTGTGCTTTTCACCCCTTGTAAAAGATGCATTACTACCCAGAAACCGGAACACCATTTTGTATTCAAAATACAGTAGCCGGAGTTTTGATGACTTGACAAAGGCAAAGACCTCGGTTGAAAAAACTGAGTTCTTGGCAAAATCCAAGATTGTCTATCATCACCACTTGTGCACACTGTTGACTAACATGATATTGTTACAATTAGAACAACTCAAGAGTGGTTTCACCTTGTTCTTTAAAACTGGCATGAATAACATACATTAATGTGATAAACATAATGTAATTACCAATCGATCACAAATTGCAGGTCTTGATTAACCGGTTTTCCAGAAAATCTATCAAGAAAGCTAATATCTGAAAAGTGACGCTTTTAAATTTTATTGTTTCTGTGGTATAGTTAACTAAGTTAATGATACCAGTACTCAGAAAATGTAAGGTGCAGGTCACAAAAATAGGGTTATGATGTCGCATAGAACACATCAAATTACATCGAATGTAGAAAACACTAAGCTGCTCATTTCCATCTCCTTTTTAGTTGGATTTCTCTCAGAGTTACTATAACAGGAGAGCAGCAAGGCACCCTTCTCCAGTGTTCATTGCTGCACTCTAAAAAGTTTTCATATTTGATGTGGTTTTATGACATCATCCTTGAGTTTCATAGTAAATGAACTTTTTCAGATCTTCTTTTCACAGATTTGGTAGTTCTCCGTGTTTTACGTGCAATTAGCTATTTTGGACAAAATGATTTAGCCCAGGATCCATAGTTTGTAGATTACCGTATGCACATGAAACGGTCGGTATGATAAAACTTTTTGGCGAATCAGGCGTTTTTGTTCACCACTGGCAACGCAGTCGTACTTAGAGCAGCCAATTTCCACATTCTGAGAAGTTTTTGGCATGGACATTGGAAAAATCTGACTACCATCTGCCTAAGGGTGTCGGTGCCTCAATCAGAAAGAAATGAAAGTTCATAGTTCGAAAGTGACATACATGTTCAGAATGAAATTTTAAGATGGTTTATGCCAAAAAAATAGTCAACAAATTTAGAGGTCGAAGAAGTCGCTTATCGCTTTTCATCGTTTTTATCAGTGATGAAGAACGAAACTAAAGTATAAAATGTATGGCTATATCAAGAATAACCTTTTTCTCTTCATATTTTATTTTTTCATTTTTTATTTGCGCAGTACATTTGTTTGAAGTATTGACAACAACTCACTAACTCAATCAAGAAAAGGTTTTTTAAAGTCAAAGTTCTTTTCATTTTGCATTTAGAGTGATAGAGATGGCATCCAATCCAGATAATAGTTCTGTTACCTATACTCATGATCGTTACTCAGATGTTGGAAATGAATCTGGACGAATGTTAACACCTATTCAGGGTTACGCACAGCTGCCACTAGTATCGCTAGAGGAAGCTGTTAAACCAATTGAAACAGTCATACCTGATATTCAGCGTCAAGTGTACATCGCAAAAGAGCGATGTAAACAACCATGTCCAGATGGTTTGACCCATGATGAATCAGCAGCGTAAGTATCATATTCATTATGTACAAGAAGAAAAGAGAAACTTTCAAGAAATTGTAATTAGAAATTATGCATGACAGACGTAATGAGAATCATGTTTGTGAAGCTTCTTCTTGTCTGTATCTAGAAAAGGCGAAGTGTAACTGTACGTGATATCAGCTTTGAAAAAATGAGATTTTTTCCTACTCCTGTGACTCCATGGATGTTTTATTTGGCGTATTTAACCACATAATCTAAGGTCAATTAGAGTACATTTATCATAATCTGTCTATCACTAACTCTAAAAAGATATTGAACTAAATGCATAAAGCAAGGAAAAGAAGGATTTTTAGGACGGTTTCACTCTCAACAGTCTTTTTATCTTTTTCGTCTACTGTAGTATTCTTCTTTATACAATGGAATGGCAACCCAAAGAACAAAGCGTTTACTTTGTTCTTAATAGTATTCTCCGTTTGGAAAATCGTGAAAATATAAAACCATTTTATTTATATTTAAAACTTGTATTTACTGCTCTATGGAAATTACCATCTCGTCGTCAAACTGTTTATCGAGGTATTGATAAAGATTTAAATAAAGAATATGAACTAAATAAAACCTATACGTGGTGGGGGTTTAGTTCAACAACTGAAACACCAGCACAAACCCAAATGTTTTTAGGTAAAAGTGGTAAGACACGGACATTATTCAATATTGATTGTCTACACGGGAAAATGATAATCGATCACTCATTCTTTAGAAATGAGAAGGAAATTTTATTATTACCAGCTGTTCAATTTGAAGTAGTAAGCAAATTAAATCCATCACCTGATATATATATCATCCACCTGAAAGAAGTTATACCAAAGTTTGAATTACTCCAGGCACCTTCTCCTTCTTTTGAAAAACTCTCAACACATCAACCGATACCATCAGCTAATCATGTGTCAACGGCACCACCATACTTAACCCCTGTCGCTTCAACAAAAGGATCATCTTTCGGTGGTTCTAATAGTCGTGCAGAACGTTTGAACGATGAAGTTCGAAGAAATCGCGAGGAACAAAGAGCTGACTTTCAACGTAGTGAACTAACCGATAATGAATTACAAATGGCAGTGCTTAATGAGATCAAAACAAATAGAAATTGGACTGAATTACGTTTATCTCAAAATAAAATCACACCACGTGGTTTAAAAGAATTATGTCAAACATTGAAAACAAATACAATAATAACCAAAATATTAATATGGGATAATCCATTAACCGATGAAGGGGCAAAATTATTTGCGGATTTATTGATGGTTAATAGAACATTGATAAGTATTTCGTTGGACGGGACACAAATGACAGATGCCGGTATTAGCGAGCTCGCTACTATGTTACGATCTAATAATACATTACAAGAACTTCATGTTGGTGATAATGAAATAACCGATAAAGGTATAATCACGTTAGCACAATCGTTAAAAAGTAATATCGGTCTACAATGGTTAAGTATAAAAAATAACAAAATATCCGATAAATCTGTACCCGCTCTGGTTGAAATGTTAAAAGAAAATGAAACATTGTCGACATTAAATCTTGATCATAATTATATATCAGACAAGGGAAAATTTAAATTACAACAAGCAATAACTACAAATAGAGTTGTTAAATCATTGTTAATTGACAATCAATCGACGAGATGTAAAGTACAATAAACATTATTTTCAATCTACGGTAGCACCTTCATTCAATTGTCGTGTGTCTCTTGTTTTGTTGAATAAAGGATGAAAACGATTAAGTGACGGTTTTTGGACGAAGTAAACGCATAGAGAAAAGTACATTGATATGTATTTTTCCAACTTTTGAGACTAGTGTTTTTATTCAGTTATCTTTTGCTCATTATCAAGTGATTGTGAAAATTTAGTGAAACCCTATTTTTATTTCATGTTTATATTATAGTTTCTACTTCTTAGCTGAACCATGAGTGTGGTTGTTAGGCGACTCTTGATTAATTAAATCAGCTTCAATAATGTGTGCTTGCATCAATATATAAGATTTGAATTGATTTTTTATGCAAATAAACAGTGAAGCTGAGTTTTTTTTATAGAGTATAAACAATAAACATAAATATTTAAAGCTTAAAGGAATTGCTATGATCCTGCTTTGTCAACGAACAGTGGTGGCTCATTTAGTGCTGGGAAAGAAAAATATTCCTCACCTCGACTTGACTTGACTTGAAAACTCATTTAGTAACTTGACTTATGACTTGCAAAACCTCTGACTTATCAAGCTCTCGGCTCATTTTGCTAGAAAAAGAATAATCCTATTAACAGAAACCGATTTTTCTGTAATCTAGTAGGATGCTTACTTCAATTATAGAATTAATTTTTTAAAAAGCTTAAAAGTCTTATAAAAAATCCTCTACTTAGGAAATTGTTAAAATTAAATATTTTCTATAATCTAAGAGCGCTACTGTATAAAAGCATGATTGTGGAAAGAAACAACCTTTTAATTTTTTTCAAAAGAATATTCAAAAGATTTCCTAACGTGCTCTTGGATGAATATTTCGACCCTAAAACTTTGAAAAATCAGGAATATTTTGTTTTCTCCTGCTGAAATTTCTACTATCCTTCTCAAATTATAAGGCCTCTGGCTGTTTATTGAGTAACTCGAGAAGGATAAGAGTCAGAAAATTTGGGTTTTCATTGTTCAAAAGAAGAGACTTTAAGACATCTTTTTATAACACACATTAATTCATAACTTTTTATTTAAAGTAGGCTTCCTAAGAGATCTTCAGAAAATCAGCTCATAACTCAAAAACTTCAAGTACGAACATTTTTATTTTCTTCATCGGCAGATAGCCGAAAGTGCCGAGTTCAAAACGGGAGTCAGACGAGATCTTGATTTTCAATGGTTAGGGCGTGGTATCGCGCTTCCTTGGAGCTCCAGGGCTCACTCATAAAACATCAGAACGAGTTGAAAACTCCAGACGAAAAATGATCCATGAAGAAAAATAAAAATGTTCGTACTTGAATTTTTATAAATTGGGATTTCGACAAGCGGAACTCCGCCACCTAAAATGCGACAGTATTGTCAAATTATCCTTAGAATTTCGACAATAATACTGATGGATCGAACATCATAAGTTTATCTTACTTAGCTTTAAAGCGACAATGTTGAAGTATCAAAGCCGTTTTTTTAGATTTCAACAATAATAACGTAACGAAAAGAATTACTAATCAGTAACTGAATGGCACATGTTTATTTTCTTTGATCGATAGTAGCCAACAAACAAACAAAAAACTAAAAAAAATACGATGATCGGGGTTATATAATTTTTGTTATCTAAATTTAACAATTGCCGAAATTGCGGTTGTCGAAATTCTAGTAATCCGCGCCGGGTTCGTTAATGATTCTGCTTCTTGAAAGTTCTTGATCTTGATTGATATAATTACTAATTAAGAAAGTTAGTCCCATACTTGAACAAGGGAGATGATAGAACGGTAACTATAACAATTTCACACGTATTGATATTCTTTGTGATAACACATTATAGAGGATCACCTTGAATGCTATTGCCCTACTAGATGGATAAATGAATAAATTACACTTGTCGTTGTCTTTATCGCCGTTTTTGTTTCGCAGTGCTCAAATATATTAGAAATAAATGTTTTCAGTCGATTTTTTAAATTATTATATATATAGAAATATGTTTTTCGAAAAGTAATTATATATTCTGAAAGCGCTCGGAGTTCGCTCTCATCCTGTATATTTATTTCTTGACTTACAATTATTTGCTGAAAAATATTTCAAGTATAATGAAGGCATTGTCAGATTTCCAGGAACTGCATCTTTTATTCCTTTTTCAGTCGTTTCTTCTATTACGAATATAGAAATAACTTTTTACAAAAGTAATATACATTCCAATTCCGTTACAATTCCTGGAAATGTGATAGGTAGGGTGCATTAATAATATTCAAAATTGTTGTCAGCAAATACTTTCAAATCCAGACTGAGAAAGCAGAGACTAACAGAAAATTTCAAGCGCTACTAGAATATATAATTACTTTTCGAAAAATATATTCCCATATATATAATGAATTTAAGAAATCGACTGAAAACATTTGTCCGGATATATAAGGAACAGAATCCACACTGTAAAAAAATCGAGAAATCTTCAAGCCCATTATGGACATAATGTTTGACTGAACAGGTACGGTATTATATGAACAGTACCGTAAAAGTTGTATACTTTGCAGTACAGTATTGCAGAGCTTACGCTGTAGAATCACAGTGGGCATTTCCTCATAGAGCAGGCGGCATTTTTTGCCGACATAGTTTTTTTGAATCCAAAAGCACTTTTTTATAGGTTTTCGCATACGGTATTTCCAGCAGTGTGGCAAAGGTGAGT